ACCATCGATAGTTTGCGAACATTAGCTTAAAGATTTAAGTGAATTCCCCTTTAGTGCGTACAAACAATTTTTACTGGTCAAAGCAAATGGGAATAGCGCCAATTTAGGGGAATTCTCTTTATGTATAACATCAATGTCTTTTTTACATGGCTTCTTCTGGAACCAACTACAAAAATACAATATTTTTAAAAAGGAAACAATTTCAATTCCAATAGGAGACATACAAAAAGTACATAAAAAACAATTTTTAGTTCCCATACAGAGTTTATTAGTATCCAGCTATAGACACAGGCCCCACCTACAGCCTTAGTATAACAACCCACTAGACTTGAGTATAATCGATTGGTTACTGTTTTGCTTAATTATTAATGTCATCGATTATTTGGACTCTTGAACAATTTAAATATGGAAATTATGAGTATCAACAACACCTTTAACTGATTATCAACGCTAATGAAATCCGATACACAATAAACCGATATCCAGGCGGCAATAAACAAAAAAAAAAAAACACAGAAACAGAAACATACGCACAGTCAGGCACACAAATCAAGTGACGATCATAATTTTTAAATGCGTAAGAAATTCGTGTGGGTGGTATTTATCATAAACATTTGGATTATCATCATCGTGTAACATGAATAAAACCAAAACCAAATGGAAAACAAAAATAACAACTCTACGAACATATCACCTCAGCACACACGAACCGACCGACCGACCGTCCGCTAATACTACCATCGAATGTGGGGAATGTGTTGAAGGAAATTAACAACAAATTGAAGCATTTAAAACTTATCAAAAAATACTCAGCGGGATGGTGGTGTATATAAGCGCAAATATCTTAGCAAAAAGAAACGATTAAGCACACACACTCATCTCCAATCGATTTGGAATTTGAATCGAAACAAACCGAAAAAAACGAAAAAACGCCACATTCATGCTGACAGATGCGATGGATGTCCGCCGCCGTCCCGACTGTAAATTTATAATAAAAAAACAGTGGAAATAACAACAACAACGGCCAATCTTATTGTTAGTAAAAGGAATTCAATCATTGTAAGACATCAAAAAAAAAAAATTAAAAAAAAAACAACTGGGTAAGACTCTTCGGTATGCCGAAAAAAAAAATTAAAATTAAAAAAAAACAGCACGATATGCATAATCGACGGATCAATGTAATACATGCCATATACTTACTACAATAAAAATCTACATTGTTTTGTTTTCTCTCTTTTTTTTTTGCTGTATCACTTCACTGGCAAAGTGAATTGAATTTACGCGATCTGATAAAAAAGGAGCCGACAACATCAGCCGCTTTTGACGAAATAAAAATGACTTGTTTCGATGGTGTTGAATATTTTCGACAGAATCACTTCACTCGCCAACTGTTGGTCTTGCTCTGCTGCCTGGCTCATCGTTGTATCGATTTAACAGATTGCCGGACAAAAAAAAAACAACAACAACAACAAAAAGAACACACCAATTCCATCCCCACCACCTCCAAACCACCTACAACAATATGATATTGCCGGGGATGCCGCAGACGAACACACTCCCGCAGCGAAGAACAACTTATTTTCTCGTATAGGCCCAATGCATTAAATGTTACTTGCCAATCTCCAGCTGGGCATTTCAAAGCGTTGATCTGCAAGACCCGCCTGTCAATAAATTTTTGAAGATGTTTTTTCCCCTCTTTTGCTTGACCACTCTTCCCATCCATCCGCTACCTTTATTGTTGTCATATTTTGTTGGGCTTTTATGATCGATCCATTGGGCCTCACAAATGAAACTATCATCGATGCATTTTCACCGATCGCCTTGACTTATTGCATTCATCAAAGCCATTTCTTGGCATTGGGTGATGATAGCTGCATGAATTGATCATGACTCAGACGTTCCGAAGTATTTGTTAATTGCTACACTATGTTGCATTTTCAAAATATTTGTAGTTTTTTTTTTTTTTTTTTTTTTGTTCAAAATTAACTGTTCTTTGAAATGAGATCTTTGCATTACGGTAGCAAAAGGAAACATCAAATCATATTTTTTAATAATAATATTTTAAATTCCTTTTTAAGTATGGACTGTATTGTAGCTTAAAGGGAAGCTACAATACAAATCAGTAATACGTTTTATATTTTAATTGAACAGTTTAAATGTAAATATATAACAAGAAGTGAGAATTAGTTTCCTTTTGGAATATAAATACATACATATATATTGGAAAGCATGTAGAATCCGATGATTTGTGTAATATAATCGGAGAACCACCAAAGAAAATATCACGAAGTTTTGCGTCGATATGACTTGAAATGGATTATGGGAAGCATATAGGAACATATACTATTTGCTATTTCAAATTAAAACTGCAGATAATAGTGAAACAATAAATTCAAACAGTTTTACAATATTATTTATTATTATTAAATATTATTATCTTGTTTCTACGCAGTTCTGCCCTAAATATGCGTCAAATTCTTCTCTTCGATGGGACCATTTTCATCTATGTCCTCTCCATCATATTATTTTAACTCTACGGTCAATAATTGGGTACATTCTGGGATGGTCCGTGTAACGAACTTTTAGTGTAAACGTTGAGAACGTCATATATTAATTGTAATAATAATATTATAACCATAAACAGTTAATTTAAAGGATATATATATATATATATATATATTTACATATATCTGAATATTACTTACTAAAACTGAAATTTTGTCAAAAACCTAATGGCTTTGGGCGGGTTTCTGACCTATGTATTGAAGGACCATGTCTGGGTCCATTTGCACCTTTTATTGGTTACAAATGCTGTAAAAATTTCAATAATGGAGATATTTGTATCAACTTTTGTGGAATCATTCTTGAGGCGTTCTTACTCATAACTGATAGAAAAATTTAAAATACTTCCATATATATAATTTTTATAAATTTTTATACCTCCACCATAGTATGGTGGAGGTATAATTTTGTCATTCCGTTTGTAACTCATCGAAATATTCATTTCCGACCCTATAAAGTATATATATTCTTGATCTGGGTAAAATTCTAAGACGATATAGCCATGTCCATCCGTCCGTCTGTTGTAATCACGCTATCTTCTGAAGGAATTGAGATAGGGTGATGAAATTTTTCATAGGGTTGTCTTTTGTCTGCAGGCAAGTCAAGTTCGAAGATGGGATATATCGGTCCACGTTTAGGCATAACATCGGTCCACGCCAAATTTCGGTATTTTGGGGTTCTTGGGCGCGTTTTTCGACCGAATTCACTGAAATTTGGTACATTGGGTTCCTATTGGGTACTAAATTTCACCACAAAAAATTATAAGTATAGGTCCACTTTTTCTGGTAGCCCCCATATAACGGTACCTCCTAATTTTCAGTATTTTGAGGATTTTGGTCGTATTTTTACACCGAATTGGCTGTAATTTTGTATTTTGATTTCTTAATAGGTACCAAATCTCTCCAAAAAAATTATGAATATAGGTCAATTTTTTTCGGATTCGCTGAAATTTGGTATTTTGTAGTCGTATATGGTAACAAATCTCCCTACCAAAAATTATTAATATTAACCCCCTTTTTGGCGTAGTCCCCATATAACCCCCTTTTTTATATTAAAATAGTTATCTGATTTGTTCTGCGTTTGGTTCTGTTGTAATCATTTCACCTGCGGAGGATAGAACGTAAGGTTCGATAATGTACTATATATGAACTATAGCCCGGATTTAGGCCTAGGCCTAGCCCCTGTGTGGGACGTACCAGAAGAAGTGGACCGATATTTCCCATCTTCGAACTGGAACAAAGTTTGGATGAAATCAAAATTTTCTGAAATGGATTTGGTCTAAAAAACGTGGGGTCTAGAACCAATATTTCGACGAGGCACATTTTCACTGTATCAAAGTGTATACACGTTCATTAGCCATAAGGCTGAGGGTATAAATATTCATTAAAAATTGTTGAAAATTGTATTTGGTGTACATTATGGTTTACATAATCAGTTTTTTAGAAAGTTCACTTTTTGGTATGTTCCCTATATTTTCATTTCAAGTACCTGTCAGTATATCTAAGGTGGAGGGTATCCAAAGTTCGGCCCGCATTTTCACTTGTTAAAATTATTACCTACGTAGATCAATAACTGTGGCACATTTGTACCCATTCAAAGTTTGCGCTGTGATTCCTTCCAACATTGGGCTATCATGCGAATTTTTTATAAAGTAGTCTTTGGGGAACTAATCTATATGAACGTACTTAAAATTATATATATAACCTAGATAACATGGGACCATCAGGGCGACTCGTAGAATTCAGCGCAACACATTGGTTATCCTTTGGTATACGGCGACTAAAACAATGATTATTGTTTTATATAGATTATCATTTTAATTCCTACATCTAGCTCAGATTCGTATAGATTAATTGATAAAAAAAAACGCCAAAAATATCCCACTTCTAAATGAACTATAGTGCAATATTTAAATGAATACAAATGAACCCGGTTATTTATTTTCATTTACTTTTTTGGTTATTGACCGTAGGGTAAATTATATTTTGTTTGCGTAGGTCTGTAATTAGTACGCAATTGCTTTTATTAATAGAAATAAATTTATTAACGTCTCTAAGATCGGAGTATTGAATCGTGCAAAAGACATTTTTTTTATTTTCATTAATACTTTTAATAAAAAATTATAGAAGAGGAATTTGTATGTTAGACCTTGAGAATGTCTTCGAGTTTCTCACACCGTTATCATATATAACAGTAACTCATCGAACTTTGAATTCATACCATTGTATAGTTATTCCACCTATTACAGTAAATGAAGTAAAAAATCAATATAAAATGTGTACGCAGTATACTTCATATAAACTAAAAATCTTCTCAAAAAACCATTCGCCGGTCAACACCGGTTTATCCAATTTCCATTTCTTTTTTATTATAATCCAAACGTAAATATTGTTGATACCGACGGTTAATCGCCACATGGGGACTGTAAAAACACTCACCTTCATTTTAAGTGCCTCCACAATTTTGGCGGTTTATAATCCACAGCAGAGATTTAGGTATGATAATTCCGAATATTTTGAACTGTCTACTTCCGATTTAGTAGGCAGCAGTGTTGAACTTATTTTTTCGTTTTAATGGGTTGAAACTTTGCACAGCCCTAATACACTTTTCCAATTTGTTGTTGGAAACTTTTCTCCATTTATCAATCAATCAATCAATCTTTTATCGACTTTTCTTATTGCAATTTCAAGAATTCCTTTATTCTATTAACTATTTATTTTATCCATGCACTTCTTGGGGGGTTCACAAAAATATTTATGTTTGGCGGTATGCAGGTTTTTTAATGATAAATCGCCACATTACCACAACAACAACCGCTTCGATTTGAATTTTTATGTTTCTTTTTATTTCAAGTATTTAATTTTAATTCACCATGAGATACGCGAACGCGGGCACAATAGATGGCCACGAAAATTGTTTGTGGCTGGACCTTTCGTACAGAGCTGCAGAGGAGCACAACCACGTCAAACACTAAAAAATTGATGCCATTCACACAGACCCTCCATACAAAACGTCGTTACAACGCAAGACCACTCGTTGGACTGATTCGAGCCAGAAGCTGAACACAAGGCCAACAGCATTCAGATGCGGCGGCAATAGCACTCAAATGGATTCGCTGTGGCCGAGTAGCGAGTAGCGGAGAAGTGGTTGTTATTTCTTGGCTTATTTTCGTAAAACAACAACACTGTGAAAACCTGTCTGAGCCAGCTAAGCAGCAACCAACCAACCAACGAATACCGACAACAACCATGATCACAAACTCGCACAGCCATTCATTCATTCATTCAATCAAACACCACCAACACTAACAACGACTAGCATGGAAGGCAACCAAAAAATACACACAACTTCATCCACCCAGATTAGTTGCAGTTTACAGTGAGTGCAATAGCTATGGGCCCGGTCGTCTAGTTAGGGTGGTTAGTGATTGGCAGATAACTGGCGAAGCGCCGCCTATTTTGGTTAAATACAAATGGAACGAGTTCTATTACTGGAGAGATCCATTTTGAGTGGAATTTCGTTGTTATGCTCTTCTTAGGATATTTCGCTTTGAGTGCGCAGCTGCCAACATTGAGTTCGTAGTCACGCTCCACACTCTTTACGGACAAGGCGAATCCAAGCAAAGTAATTTCGAACACTAGCGGCCAGAACCAAATCGACGCACTCACACTCTTGGGACATGAATCAGAACGCGAATGCCTAGGTATTTCGAGGTTTCAAGAAAATCTGGTCAAAGATGCAAACTGCCAACAACTGCTTGTAGTCGAATACAATCTTGTTTGGATGGCACTTGACCAAAACCAAATGGATCCAGCAACGCCCCTCGCGAACATCGCCATATCTTCAGCGCTGGCACCCCAACCAACACTCACATAGAGTCTTTCGTTGTTGAATATCGCACACCCCACGCTACCATACCAGCACAGAGCTTGACGCGATATTGCTGCTACATTGGCTGTTAGTCTGTTGTTGTCTCTTTCCATTCGCCTGAAGAAATGGGAGCTTTTCAAGTGTTTGAGATTACTCAAGCCCACACCACTTGTCAAAGACTTTTCAACAAGAAGTGTTTATGTATTTTTCGATACAAAGCTCGGTAAGTGCACCGTGCAAAGTGTACTTGTATTCATTGTGTTCATCGTACATACACACATACATACAAACGTAACGATATGCTTGGGTACACAGCATAGCTTAAAGCATAACAGCAACAACAAACAAACAACAAACACACGAAAATTCCGACTTCTTATGTTTTGGTAGCTCTTCCATTTTGCCGCATAGCTGTCAAACGTCAAGTACTATTAAAGGATTAAAAACACAAATTATGGATCAATGTTTGTACAAGCTGCCTTTGAGGTGGCATTTTTTCAGCTCTCCACATCCGCCTCACAAGGACTTGAGACTTTATTTACGTTCTTTGTTCTTTGTGTTGGATGCATTTATGAGCTGATGATTGCACACTTAGTTGCATTATCGGGGTATCTTGTGTGTCTGTCAGCGTCTTCCACGTTGCACAGTGGTATAAAATGCAGAGCTAGTTTGCTGAAAATAAAGCGTCATGTTTTATTGTATGTTCATTCATTATTTCGATAAGCATAGCTAAGGGAGGACAATTTTACTACATTTGTGAATATTTTTGGTAATTTTTTTCTAAATAGAGATCGCAATATTAAATATTGTGAATATTGAATATTGCAATGACATTGATATTGCTACCAGGATATTTGTGATTGCTAATGAAGTATATCGGTCCACGTTTTAGTATAGCTCCAATACAAAGGTCCAGCGACCTTTCCGGTATTTTGAAGCTATAAGCTGCATTTTCCAACAGAAAAGCTTCTATTTTGGCATGTTGGGGTTTTGAAGTCTGACATACATCTTCACAGGAAATGATCATTATAGGCCCATGTCTTGTTATAGCCCCTACATGAAGGTCTCTCCCAATTTTCAGTATTTTGTGTTTTATAGCGACACTTTCCAACCGAAAAGACTTCGATATATATATTGGCAAACTTAGAGATATATATACCTATGCAATATAATCAGATATCATCATCTGAAGGCTACAACACTTCGTTTCTTACACGATCTCCTTTTCTAACGTTCTCCTTCTAATTTCATACATATATTGAGTGACACAAATAAGTTTAAAATAAGAATTTATTTGCAGAAATAGTTCAATTCACATCTTCACATTGCCTACCGGTCAAATGACCACTTTTTTTGTGCAAATTTAATAGCGGCAACAATATCAAAGTATTCGTCATGAAATTTGGTCCAACTGATTTTTTTGTTACTAGAATGGTCATTGTTGAATTTGGAAGAAATCGGTTCAGATTTGGATATAGCTCCCATACATATATTTTCGTGCGATTTAAGGTAAATGGTAAATTTGTCGATTTGCACGAAATTTGGTATAACGTATTGAATTGAGCCTAGAATGATGTCTGCCAAGTTTCCAGAAAATCGGCCCAGATTTAGATATAGCTCCCATATATAGTTTCGTCCGATTTCATGTAAATGGGGCACCAAAGTCCCTATATATCTTTCGATTTGCTCAAAATTTGACACAACATACTGAATTGAGCCTAGAGTGATGTCTGCCAAGTTTCGTGAAAATCGGTCCAGATTTAGATATAGCTCCCATATATATTTTCGTCCTATTTAATGTAAATGGTGCACCAAAGTCCATATATATCATTCGATTTGCACGAATTTTGGCATAGCATACTGAATTTAGTCCAGAATGATGTGTGCCAATATTTAGATATAGCTCCCTTATATTATAGATTGATTTTAAGTAATTGACGCTCTAAGGAACCAATATATGGCTGATAGGAACAAAACATACTATAATTAGTATAACCTATCCGGTGACAAGTTTCGTTGAAATCGGTTCATATTTGGATATAGCTTCCATATATATTTTCGCCCGATTTTAAGTAAATTGTGATTGACATCAAATTTTGCTCAACGTACAAAATTGAGCATATAATTACGTAGTTGCGTTTTCGGATGACCTATTGATATTTGACGAATGTCATGTTTATGGATGGATCTAGGTAGATTCACATTTAGATAAATATCACATGTTTTCTTTCTTTGAAAACACTAATCTTTCTGTGATATTTTGCCCTAATTTTAAGCAAAATAAAGGTACTATTTGCTTTAAAAATTTCTCTCTTTCATCTGAAATGTTGTCGACATCAATTTTGCTCACTACATGTTGAAAACAGCACCAGCATTTTTCTTTTTGTTACCATCTTTTTGCCATATTTCAAAAAGATCGATTTTTTTATACGGAGGTTGCCTAGAAAAAGAGGCATTACATGCAAAACCCAAAAAATCGCAACTTGAAACAAATTTAAATTAACTCATTACTTATCACTTAATTTATGTGCAAAATTTCAAAGAGGTCATATCGGGTCATTTTTAATAGCTTACTGAAAGTCAATCTATCAAATTACTTTATATCTTTAAAGTCTTCATAGACTAAAGGGTTATTTTCAAGAATAGTGTCGCAAACATAAAAATGTTTTGATTTAATATAAATATGCTCACTTCTATTTATATTTTCCATTTTACACTAATTAATTATTGCAAACACAATCGAAACAATACGCACTCAAAGTTGACTCAGCCCCACAGAAATATAAGCATATTTATAGAATACATTGTATTGAGCGACTTGCACGGCCAGCTGTGTAACTTTGATTTTTTTCAATTTTGCACAGAAAAACCGGTCATTTGACCTATAGTGCATTGTTTCGAAAAAACAAATTGAATGCTTGAGAAGCACACTTGATGCGGACACCATAAATCGCCTATAACATCAAGAAGAGTTTTGAAATTTTAACATCAAGAGAGAAATTCTTGAGTTGTGGGTTCGTATCAAATAATAAAAAAATTCATTGTTATTGATACCGAGAATGGAAAGCTTTTTATGAAATATATTACTGCGTTGAACGAAAAATAATAGGGTGATTTTTTAGCTATTAACAAAACTAAACACTGACTCATACCAAAAAATTTAATTTTTATTTTTTCCTGAAGAAAACTGTTGCATTTCACTTTAAATAAAATAGTCATTATTAGCAAACTCATAGAAAACTTTTTTTAAATATAAATATAATTTTTATACATGCTGCCTCAGGGCATAAGTGTCTGCCTTGCTGGATGTTGGGCACGACACATTGCACATGGCAATATTGTTTCGAAGTCTAAACCAAGATGAATGATGAAGAATATCAGACCATTCCTACAAGTACCTCCCCTATAAATGGTCAAAATGTTGCTGAAAAATAAATATATATGGAATGGATTATCCGTTTTGATCCAAACTTAATATTTTTACTAAACCCATATCTTGTTCAAAGATGGAAATTAATGGTTCGCTCCTTCTGGTGTTTGTTGATACATGTTTTAAGAATCAAATACTTTAAAATTGTAAATATTGATATATTTTGAAAATGGTTTCAGTGGATCTACTCG